AGAATTATATAGTATTAAAAATAATTTGAAAAGTTTTGATAAATTGACACTACCAAAATAATTTTAAAAAAATAAATATGATTTTGTCAAAATAACTTACAAACAAAAAATTGATACAAATAACATATCTAAAATAATGTGTCCATGATGTTTTTGAGATTATAAGGATAATGGTGAGTATCCCGAATGGAAAATTATTCAATACTCCTGGAGCATTGCTAAGTGGTGCTCAGGGTGGTCTTGACTTTTTTGAGGTTCAAAACAAATCTCGGGGCCTTTTATATATATAAAAATAAATGCAAAACTAGGCTTGTAATATGGATCCATTTTGACTTATTTTTTGACATAATCAGATTAATTGATAATTTAAATTTTATTCAAAAATTTTGAAATTTCATATTGTCGAGTGCAAAATTCATATTATTAGTCACGTGGATAAGTAAACTATTGTGATTGAGCTTCTCACAGGCGTGAGGTTTTTTTTATAAGAAATTGCGCAATTATAAAAAATGAAACTCCTCAAACCCTAGAGTCATGGAGATCTAAAATCGCATTAATAATCTCATTCTTCCCCAAGATTATTATTATTCAAATATAGTCTACGATTAAGGTTCCATGTAATCCAAGCTGAAATACCTAATAAAATATGAAAAACTATAAAAAAAAATGTCAATTAAACATCACCATGTTAACATTTTTAGCTGCAAAGCTTGTTTTATCTAACTTGCCAACCAAACCCATTTAATATTTCTTGTGATATAATTGATTGACCATAAAATTTAATCAATTTCCATGTTAAAAAGTTTTTTCTCCAAATGCAATTGTAATAACTATAATCAATACACAATCTATACATTAGAAAACAAACATCTAGTTGTTTCAAATTATTCAAACATTAATCATTTTTTTTTTTTTTTTGGTTTCTTTTTGAGGGGTCCCTTTTTTTTTTTTTTTTTTATGAACTAAGTATAATAACAAACATTTTTTGGCGCCCTTTTTTCGACCAATTTTGGAGGCTCAAAGCGGCTACTTGTGCGGCTTATAGCCAAAGCCAGCTCTGGTGGTGCCCTAAAATAGTAATTATTAGTTTAAACAATGAGATTCATCGCTTTTGTGTTAGAATTATAGAAAATAATTGATGATATATCTAACCTATAAATGAAAAGGAGTATTGCATCATTGTCCATTTTGAAATGACCAACCAAAAATCATATCAATCTACATGAAAATTTTAGTTATTTGTATATCATTCTTTTAAGTAAAACATAATTAAGAGCAACTTTTCCATTCTATTAAGCATAAAATTCTTATGTCGTGTTTTGTTCATAAATTTGAATAGAAATTTTAAAAGTAATATAATAAGGAAAATGTGAATAAAATATAATCATATTTCACAAATTTAAATTAAAAAAAATACAAAAAAAAATAATTTGTATTTAACTTATATTTTATTAACATTCCAACGCACCTATTTCACTAACAAAATATACTAACAAAATTTTATTTAACTTATATATATACTAACAAAATTTTTAAAAAGAAAGTATAAAGTATAATATCAATTTCTACTAGTTTAAAAAGTGAAAATAAGATGAAAATATATATAAACAGCATATTTTTTGTATCCATATTTAGTTACAAAAAATAGGGGTGAGCATGGTCCGAATTGGATCGGATTGGGATAAAACCAGGACCAATCCGTTATCTACTGAAAAATTAGAACCAATCCAATCCGTTTAAATCATAGAACCAATCCAAACCAATCCATTTAAATACGGATTGGATCGGTTTAGGACCACGGATTCACATAATTAAATAACAAAAATATATATATAACACTTTAATTTCATAAAAATATAAACATAGCGCTATATTAGTTCCACAATAGTAACGTGTTTTTCTATAATAGCGACATACTGTTTTAGAATTTAAACAACCAGAAGAAAATAGGTTTCACCATAAGTATTTAGACCATTGCAAATTAAAACTAAAAACTAACAAACAAAAGTAATAAAAGAAAATATTATACAGTTTTAGGTTTGAGTTTAGATTTTATATAAAATAAGAGAAGATACTATGGGGGATTATATTTTATTAACATTCCAACGCACCTATTTCACCATGAAAAACTTCAATTAGCAAGTTTTAAACCCCGCAACTCACGTATAGGAGTTCCACGCCTCTCCACTAAAGCACAACAACATGTTAATGTATATTAGGCATCATCATCATCATCATCTATCTAGAATTTTTATATAGGGCGAATATATATATATATATACTAACAAAATTTTTAAAAAGAAAGTATAAAGTATAATATCAATTTTTACTAGTTTAAAAAGTGAAAATAAGATGAAAATATATATATATAAATAGCATATTTTTTGTATCCATATTTAGTTACAAAAAATAACAACTATAAAACAATTTATTTATTAAAGTGAGGCATCTTGAATTATTGTGCTTGACATTGGTTCATGTCATTAAAAATGTCTATAATAGAATTGATATTAAAATCTTGTATAATGTCTTTTTCAAAGAACATGATGAAGTAATTAGCTAATACCTTATTCAATTTTTTAGAAACTTGGGCTCGTAATTAATAATAGTTATAACAAAGAATTTTCTTATTATTTTTGTCTATTTTTTTAATTTTATATATTGATCCTATATTTCATATATAGAGAGAGTGACAGCCACTTAAAATTATTTTAAAAGAGGAAAATGTAGAAGGGGTGAGTCTCTATGATATGTAAATAATTATAGAGGAAGTGAGTCTCTATAATAAATAGCGTTTTTGAAATCGTAGGGAGGCGATCGCCCTATTACCCGCTTCTAGGTCCATCATTGCTACACTATATATAGAGTAAACACCTCCATATGCCAAGTGTCCACTTTTATGTTAAAAACAAAAAATTTATAAAAAAAATTAAAAAAATAATGTAAATTACACTTTGCCCCCTTTAAGTTTGGTTACTTTTCCAATTTGACCCGTAAAATTTATTTTTTTTCCTAGTTTGACCCTTATGTTTCAAGTTTTTCCAATTTACTCCTAAAGCTAACTTCTATTCAAAATTAGACAAAAAATACAACAATAATTGTCACATAATATAAAAAATATATTATTATATTGAAATTTAAATTTATATCAGATGTGTGAGTCATATATAATAAAATATTTTTATACCAAGTAACCATTAATGTGTCATTTTCTTTTTCATTTTTAAGAGAAATTAACTTTCGGGCGAATTCTGGTTAAACAAATTTGGTAGATGAATGATTAATCTTATGGCAACGGTAGTAATGGTTGTAGTTGTGGATGTGAAAGGTAATTGTAATGATGCTAAAGAGATGGTCATAATCCAGTGATGATTGTGGTAATTGTGTGGTTGTAGTAGTGACATCATAGTAGTGCATATGTAACGATGACAATGGTGATGGTGTTGGTGATAACAATAGTTGTAATAGTGGCGTGATGGCGATGGTGGTGGTGGTAGTGGCAGCGACAACAATGGCGGTGGTAGGAGTGGTAAAAGGGTGGCAACAGTGGTAGTAGCTATAGTGGTGGTCGTGGTGGTGGCGGTGGTGGCAATAATAAGAGTGGTGGTGAGATTATAATTATATATACGTCAACTTGTATGCATAAATATCCATAAATTCAATTGGAATTAAGTAAATTTCCTATCATTTAAAATTTTCTTAATTTTTACCCTACCTTTCCTACAGTGGCAGTGGAAAGAATGGTAAAGAGATAGCGGTGGTGGTAGTAGCTATAACGGTGGTGGTGATCGTAGTAATAGTGGCAATGGTGGTAATAGTAGGAGTGGTGGTGATGACTATGGTTGTGATGATGTTACAACCATGTAAGTCAACATGAATTTGTAAGGATTTATAAATTCAATTGGAATAAAATAAATTTCCTATCACTTAAATTTCTTTTAATTTTTAATTTACATTTTAAGGCCAAGTTTGGCAACACCAAAATAATCCATCTTTTTATCCTTTTTCCATCACATCACCTCTCTACTTTTCTGCACATCTTTTCGTAAAAAGACAAAAAATACACTCATTTAGGTCATCCGAAACAACCTTGATTGATTATGATTAGTAAATAACCTTGATTGATTTTCACCAAATGCTTTCAATTTTAAGTTTTAAGTGCCAGTTGAATAATGACAATGTCTGTCAATAATGTTATTGCATCTACCTCATCATATTTGTCAATTGGGTCATCGCTAAACTGTGTTATATCACACTAACATTTATGTCTAGGGTCAAGTGGACTAGGGCAGTCTGTATTCCAAGTTCAAATATGATTAAGCATCTACTCTCATCTGATCTGTTAGAACATTCATGAAAGGTGTGTACCCAAATCCATCCGACTAGTGCATAGGACATCAAGCTTATGAACAGAAAATCTTTTGTTTTAAAATTAAGTGAAATTGTTTTGTTTTCTTTCCTTTCCTCAAATGTCAATGATTTTACATACTACTACCATTTTTTTGTAAGCAAAAACAGCTACAAGTTTTTCTTTCCACTTCTCAATTTTTGAAAACAAAAAACAAAAGTACTACCAAATGGGCCCTTAGCTACAAGCTTTCTGAGACTTCAACGTCAACTGACGACATTTCTCACTACAAAATTAATACAAAACTTCTTATACACCAGTTTACTGCAATATATTTAATAGTTTCCTCTAAAGATGGGTCATCAAACTTGCTATTATTTTATAAGCAATCTTAAACAAGCACCACCGATCACCCAAATGCCATGGCACTCAATATATATCTATATCCACACAGTCTATGTGTGACTACATCTTGTTACAAACAAACTATGAAACATGGTTCCAGTGATAAGAATTCACACATAAGATAGTATTAAGCTTTATGGGCAACAACAATGAGTTATTGACGTGGAAGCAAAGGAAACTGAAAAAATAGAGCACTGCACATATTGTCATTCTTGTGGCAGTTGCATCCACAAACAACACAAATAAATTAGTAGGGGTTATACCGGCTATGACCACGTCCACTGCCATTGCCACGCCTTCCACCACTTGAGCCTCCTCCTCTGCTACCGCTCCTGCCACTTCTCTGCTGTGGTGGTGGGGTGTGTGGCTGCCCTCCTGGTTGTTGCCTGTAGCAACAGAGACACAGCTAAAGTTTATTCATAATAAATAATAACGCCACTGTCACCGCCTTTTCTTTTTTTTTTTTGTCTTTTTTTTAACGACACTGCCACCGCTAAAGCAGCGGACTCTTAAAGACAAGATATCAGGAGCAATTCAAGTTAAGTTACCTAATAAAATTGATAGGTCCAACTTCAAGATGAAAGTAAAGAAAGTGAGGTAAAGAAAAATAAAATAAAATAAACACATTTTCTAAGTTTGTTTAGCATGAAAAAAGTTAAAAACTACAAAGAAATTAATTTTCTTGAACAACTCATTACTTACACACACACACACAAAAAAAAACACAACGAAAACACGAGGAAATTTAAGTGTCTTTGCAAAATAATTAAAATTCAAAATCTCTCTTTTTCTTGCACAATCTTCATCCTGATCAAATGCTTAAACGAAAATATATTTTCTTTTTCATTTATTTTCTTTTACTTCACTTTCTACCATTTTCACTTTCCGCCATTTTTAAACAATCAAAGGTCAATTGCTACACAACTAAGCAGCAGAATCAAAGCAATTATATACTTACAGGACATATCCAATCCTTCCATCAGGCAAAAGCATCGGCATCATTGCCATGCCAGAAGGAGTAGGTCCCCTTCCATAGATCAGTGGCTGCAAACCAGTAGCTTACACATCAGCAAGTGCAGCTGAAGAAACAAATCTAGAACCAGTACTTTCAAAAGGATAACACTTACCTGCTAACCCTTGCTTTTTTGTCCTCAGAAATATACACACATATATACACGTGTAGATGGGGATAAACACGCTTGTACATAGACAAGTCATATGCTCATTTAAGACATCAAAAATCAACCAATTCGAGTTGATGCATTAAAACAGGACCATCATCGACATTATTTTGTTAGCGACTAGCCAACTGGTATAGAGTTCATGACACTGGGTGTTTTCCCCAAAACTTGAACAAGGGAATACAGCCTATACAATTTCAAGCCAACTGGTACAGAGTGCATGCTATTTAAATTATGGACCACCGACTAAGTAAATCATGCTAACATGATTGGGACAAGAGCATAAAAAAAATCCAGCATAATGCATGTCACCTATTGTGCCATAGCTAAATATCAAGACGAAAAAATGCGTTACTCAATAATGATTCTATGAAGCACCAGCACTTCACAACAATTGTCGTAGCGGTGTCAAACACGTGGACACGGCAGGGCACGTATGGGACACGCCACATGGCATATCCCTTTATTTAATTAATTTGTTTTCAGGGGACAGGCTAGGGACACGTTGGGGACACCAACTATGTTTTTTTTCCCTCTTCTTTAGTGCTTTTGATGGATGTTGGTTATTGAATGTTTATTAATTTTTGCTTAGATTTAAATAATTAATAGATTATCCATAAGCAAGACAAAAGATAAAGAGTTAGTTAAGAGTGAGGTTACATATAGTATTAGTTTTAGTTAACTTTGATTGTTTATGAATGCAATATTAATCTACATAGCAAATAATAATAGTATACATACAAACAATTAATTGTCGTGTCCCTGCCGTGTTTGTGTCCCCATTTTTTTGAAATCATCATGTCCCATGTTTGTATTCCTGTCCATACTCCTTAGAAAATGATCCTCTAAATTTCATGACAAAAGAGTGCATTACTCAATAATGATCCCTGTTAATAAAAAGGGCAAGTTCATTATTTGAAATGAAGCAAGGCGTCTTACTTGTCCAAAGCCTGCACCACCATATCCTGCACCTAGAGCACCATAGGCACCCCCAACTAAACCATAACCGACATGAGGTGGGTAGCTTGGAAGTAGGGCTGACTTCTGTGAATTTGGCCCTCCAGAAGATTTTTGTTCAGCCTGTGGCTTTGCAAGAGAGCACTCCAAAACTTGACCTGTCAAGGAAATACAAAATTACCAGGGAAAACAAAAAGGTGAAGGAAAGGAGAGAAAGAGATAGGATCATTGTGCATGGTGGTTCAGCCAATGCAGGTTGCTGGACAAGGACTGAGTACACACGGAACATCCAGCATCAGATGCAAGTGGTACCTTCAGACTTGAACCTCCATAATCTGTGGCTTTTTCATCAAAAAAATTTATTGAAAAAATTGGACAAAAACTAGAAGTCTTACCATCCAACTCATATTTCTCAGTGTTCTTTAGAGCCTTCATTGCATTTGATCTTTCTGCAAAATGAACAAAACCAAATCTGCTCTTCTCCTGTCCTGCTTTAGCAGGAGGAAGAACAACTTTAGTGATTTTTCCATGATGTTCAAACAGTTCCCTTAGCTGATCTTGGGTAATGTTTTTGGGCAAATTCTTCACATACACTGCTTTAACCTGTATTAGAAAACCCAAGGTTACTACTCGACACCCCGCATTTCAAACACAATTTACCATTTCAGTGGAAGAACTAGCCACCGAAAAAGCACCAACACTCCAAGATGGGTGATGTGTCCATGCTCGACATGTTCGGACGCTGACACGGCAAGGGACATACATGTCCACCTATTTGACAAGCCACATGATATGTAAATTTTCTTAATTATTATTTTTTTGTAGGCCATGTTGGGACACTTCATTGACGTGTGTCCTGTGTTTGGACACATCTCATGACACCATTGTAAGGTTTTTTTATAATTTCAAACAGCTAATTTGTGGTCAAAGTAACATCTATGGAAACAAAAAGAGAAAACTAGAGAAAATACAAAACTGCAACCATATATACAATATACATTGATGTTTCTCACGTCTATGTATCCTAAATTTATATTCATATATATAGTAAATGAAAATATATAAAATAACGGGTAAATTACCAATAGGTCCTAATAGTTGGACTTAATTCTCATCAAGTCCTATTAAAAATAAGTCCTAATAAAATTGTCACTAAAAATAATTTTTTGTGACCATTTTTTGCATGTTGTTAAAAATTGACAATTAGTGACTTTTTTTGTGATAATTTTTTAAGCTGCCGCTAAATCTTATAATTAGTGACATTTTTTGTAACAATTTTCAAACTGTCGTCGCAAATTAACAATTAGTGATATTTTTTAATAGTATTTGATAAAAGATGCCATTAATTATCACAAGACCTATTGGACAATAAGTCTATCTATTATAACCTACACGTAAGTCTCCCTAAAACAAATGTGTCCCGTGTTTGTGCTTCTCAACTAGCAGTAGGAGGAAGCTCTTCCAAGTGGCTTCGTAGACTCTTAATCTGTCATTTGAAAATGACGACAGTGAGGATGGTAGAGGTCAAGGGATCGAGAGAGCCATCAAGATCGGGTCTCGAAGCTTGGTGGATGTGTTATTAGCTTAGAGAAGTAAAGAAGGAAAAAAACCCTCAGGATTTTGGAAGATTCAAGGGATTCAAGACGTTGATTAAAGGGCATAGCCACATATAAATAAGGGGGAGCAAAAGGTTTTACAATAATGTAGTCAAGGAAGGAGCAAAGATGAAGGCATTGTCTATCCCTTTCATGGAGAAAGGGGAGGATGGGTGATGTTTGCAAAGATGTTAGGTGTGTTTTCATCTTTTAGAGGGAGGAAGGAGGAGCTAGTGCAGAGGTCATTTGGAGGTGGCTAGGATTCACAATTATTTGAAAAAGGAGATTCGAATAGCGTGGGTCAGAACAGAGAAACTTTGTTGAAGTGGAGCCCTCATCATGTAAATCAACAAAGTAATGGAGGCACATGGGAATCGAGCTACAGAGGAGCGTGAATCATATTGGGTAGGTATGGATGGGGTACACTTGACAGAATGTGGGTGAAAGAGAAGGATTTTGAAATTCAAAATCGGCAGCTGAATCATTCTGGACTAAGGCTACAATTAGGCCATGTATTAAAAAAAAAATGGTCTAATTGTGGCCATAGCCAAGATCAGACGATGTAGCCTGGAAGAGATGAGTTGGATCGAAAGAGAAAGAGGATCAGGCAACCAATCTAGGGCTTATCATCCTCATCAGACCTAATGGCCGTTGGTGTGACTAGAAAAAATCATTTAAATTTCAAATTTAGAATTGGGGAACAGCTGGAATGGGTCCAATGGTCTTGAAGGCCATAAACAAGTCCAGCATATCAGTAAAGCAAAAACCATAGGATTTAGACGTGTGTATGAGCAAGCAAGCTAGGCTAGGTCACTCTTCTAGCATAGGTTTGGGTAGCTAGCGTAAGGCAAGCTTGGGAGGTGGGGCTATTGGTTGTGAAGGTAAAAGTTAGATGGGCAAAAACCGTGGTGTACAGGAGCGGACTCCATTCAATTCCCTATTGAACAGAGGGGTTGCATTCACATAATCTATACCATGAAAGAATTCTAGGACTTCATTGAAGTAAAAGAGTTCACGGATATGCCAGTTATTGGTGCTAGATACAGGCGGTGTAATAATCTAATGTGTCCCAAGTTTCAAAGTTGGCAATCAACGCTTAATTATGGGGACATTCGTACCAGAAAAAATACCCGATTTTACCAGGAAAAAAAAAAAAAAAAACACATGATTGCTTTTAGAACCAGACTCGAAGTGGAAGGTATTCTGGATAGGGTGAAGGAGCTGAAGTAAATATAGGATGACAATAAGGTGAAATATAGAGTTGTTTGGAGACGTTGGTTGGAGGCATAAGACAAGGTGTTGTGGACAAAAATAAAAAATAAAAATATCAGATCTAAATTCTTTCCCATATTGGCTAATTCCCCAAGAGACGCAAGTATATAGAAATTCAAGTGGAATTGTACAATTCTACAAGGAGTTATATATGGAAACTTGTGCCAAGAGACCTCATCTTGATGGACTGGAATTGACACTATTTTGGAAAGGGATAGAGAAAGTTTGGAAGGGCAGTTCATAGGAGTCATCATCTTGGGACCTTTGAAAGACTGTATTGGGAACAAGGCACCAGAGTCTTGATTTCATTATGGCATTTCTTATACAGACTTTTTGTAATATTTAATTATAATTAACTACCTCGAAACATTTATTTATAGTTAATGTATTTACTTTCTTATTTTAGGGATTCTAGTTACCACCAAAGTTGAATGTTGGGATTCCTCTCACTTTAGTGAATTATGACATATGGTGCAAGTTCTTTATTTTAAAAAAAGAAGTAAATCGCGTTAATAAATTGATGAAGGAACACAAAGAGTGTTGAGCACATTATGGATGTTCTATAATGATCGGTTGACGAATAGGAGAAATTTTGTTCTTTTGTTGGATGTGAATGTGATGTTTTATGACTTTTGTTGGATATTCTTTTGTGATTTTTAGAAAGTTGAATGTTGTTTTTAAGGATTTTTTGAATTGTTGAATACTACTTTATGGTTTTTAGAATGTTGAATGTTGTTCTATGATTTTTTAAATTCTATAAATATTTGCTTATGTTGAAAATTTTGTCTACATTCAAATTTTGCTTATCTTCAATAACATATGCCTTGCTTTGGAAAGGCGCGCCTTGCGCCTCGCACTTAGGCTCCAAGAGACCTTGGCACCTCAATGCAACTAGAGCATTTTAAAACACTGAACCGTCATCACACCTTGAGTGAGGAAGACGATTGACAATCACAGAATCCACTATTGTCGACCATCATTGACTACGGTTACCTCACAATTGTTGTTGAATCCTTCAGTCTTGTCGTCGACCCTTTTCTTCGTCGTGAACCACCAACCAATCCATACACTGCCGTTGTCCTTGCGTTATCTCTACAAAACAACTTAACAAATTGAGTATACTAACCCTACCCAACACCATTGACCTGACCCAAAATATTTCATCCGAACTCCTAAATTCAACCTATTTCTCACTTGTCCCAGAAAAACCAGCCCAAAGTAGTCAGCCACATTTACTTAACCCAAGAGACTACCCAACCCATTAAACCTAATCACGAACTCTCTTAAACTCAACCCTAAGCACAGCATCAACCTAGTCCTTATAACCTAACATTAGCCCACATAGTTAATTAAGGTCCATTGCCACCCACTTACAGCTCACACAGCAACAGGCCTAGTCCTTTTTAAGCCTTCCCAGCCAGCTAGCTTTAGGCCTAAACCTGTTACCCAACCCAATCTACCCCAGACCGAACAACGCATAAGCCCACGCAACCTAGCCAAATCTGACACACACACACACCAGAAAAAGGCCTCTTTCTTACTCCCTTTGTTTCATCTTTATTACCACCATGATGACCAACACAGAGTTGTATTCAAATTTTGACATCTTTTCTCATGACCAACAAGATGTAAGTGTTAACTTCTAAAATGACCATGCAACTGCTTCAAATGCCAGCAACTTTGAATAAGTTGTTAGCATATGTTTTACAAGATATTCAAAAATTCCTCAAAAGTGCTTGCAACAATCTTGTTGAAATTGTTTCCCAAGTTGTTCCAATGTCCAAGGAAAGTGATCTTATAGTGGAAGAAAGTTCAAAAAATAAAGAAAGCTAATAAGTCCTTAAAGGGAAAATGGCTCCCCACGTAACATGATCTCATCAAAGGAGGAGGTTCCTATTGACACGCTACCAATAAATTCTTCTTTGATCAAGTTGAACACGATTGATTTTATTGATATTTTAGGGGGTTTTTTTATGTGTTCAATCTGTGTTTGGTAGACCTCGTCAATGGCCTGATCACACCAATTCATTGGAACAAGAAAGTCAAACGACTAGCATATTCAAAATAATTGATTTGTTGGCATAGTCGCATTCAATATCTAAAAGAGAACGCAAAAGTTCTTTTTTTCAATTGGGGAGAATGATGCAAAACGGCCATGCACAGATTTTGGGAGGATATTTTAATTATAACTTTAGAACATGTAATTTTTTATTTATTTATATTTTAATAAGGATCTTAACACATTTCTTATTTTAGGGATTCTAATTACCAAATATTGTTTTATGATTTTGTTTATTTTTTTAAATTAGGGTTTCAGCCCTATAAGTATTAGGTTGCTTTGAATTAATGAAATTGAGAATGTTTCAGGTTGTGGTCGTGTGTTTGTAAGTTGTTTGCTAAAGTTTTTGCCTTATGATAGAGGAAGGTAGTTGGTTGTGCTATTTTTGAAACTCAAAATGCCTATGCGAGTGGTACATAGATTCTTGATGTGTCCCCGGTGGTTAATGAGATTTGGGGACTTGGGATTGAAGGAAGGGTCTCCTGAAATCATTTGTACGTTGGTAATAGAAAAAGCCTATGCCATGTAAACTGAAACTTCTATTACTATGGAAAGGATGGTTTCAGGCTGAAATGGAAAAAGTAGATCAGATGAATGGCACGCCATATCTCCAAAGTCAAGTTCTCTATTCTAGTGAACTATAAGCACGGGACACGGAAATTTCAAAAAAAATTGAGACATGGACATGGCAAGGGACACATAATTTTTTTTTTTTAAATATATATTACATACTTGTTATATAGATTAATATTATCTTACCAAACAATCAAAATTAATAAAACACAGAATTTTTTTTTTAAAAATATATATTACATATTTGTTATATAGATTAATATTATCTTACCAAACAATCAAAATTAATAAAACTTAACATTAATTCAATGTATATATAAAAATCATTACAAACATTATAAAGATATTTTGTATAAATTATAAATATTATATAAGGAAAAAATTAAATCTATAATAAAAATAAATTTACATATATAAATTTATAAAGAAAAAAAATTAAACTAAAATATATAATATATATCTAATCAGAAAATAAAATAAAAAAAGAAAGAAAATGAGAGAGAGAGAGAGAGAGAGAGAAGAGACAAAGACGAGACTTACTAGTTCGAGATGAGATGGAAATCAACTGAACAGGAGCCTTGATCGAGATGGAGATCACGACTGGAGATTGATCAACTGAGCAGGTTCTCTTCTCTCTTTTTTTTTTCTTTTGATTTAGGGTTCAGGTTTCCCCTCTTGCCGTGCCCCCTTACCGTGTCCCCGGCATGTCCCATATAAAAATAATAATAAAATTAAAGGTACACGCCAAATGGCGTGTACTGTACGTGTCCCCGGCATGTCCCCGTGTCCACACGACTGGAGATTGATCAACTGAACAGGTTCTCTTCTCTCTTTTTTTTTTTCTTTTGATTTAGGGTTCAGGTTTCCCCTCTTGCCGTGCCCCCTTACCGTGTCTCCGGCATGTCCCATATAAAAATAATAATAAAATTAAAGGTACACGCCAAATGGCGTGTACTGTACGTGTCCCCGGCATGTCCCCGTGTCCAACATCACTACGGCACCAGTTTTGCCAGGTCCGTGCTTCATAGCTGGTGAATGACCTCCATTAGGCATGCCTAGTTGTAGGGGAATCCACTATCACATTTTCTCTTTATTGTGGTCATGGAAGCCCCAGGTATATTAACAAAAAGGGCAATGCAAACTAGGATGATTATAGTTTTTCTACAAAGATTACTCTCCTTTTGACACTTTGTATCTAATAAAAAGACTGTATTTATCAAAAATAACAGTAAATTTACCATCTCTATGCAAGTTATTGCCAATTTAAGCAAAAGATTAAAAATGAAGTTCATTTACAACAAAAGTATATTATTAATTCTCAGCATAAAATCGTAGAAGATCCACATGCTTTTCTATATGCAGCATTTGTCACCTTTTATGTAATAGCACAAGCACAAATGTGACTTTTTGATAAGACATTCACAAGCACACATGTGTGACTGACAGGCCATCCAACACAAATACAAGATACCAAACAAGACACTGCTGCCTTTGGAGAAAGCCTATTTAAAAAGGGTGGGAAAAAATAGAAAAAAAAAAAAAAGCATTACAATACGACCGGTGTAGGAGCATCACTCCAACACACATTGGAAGTGCTTGTCATGCAAAAGAAGAAAAAATAGAACAATCTGCATTCCACAAGCAAGTCACTATGCACCTTAAGAAATGGGACAAACTAACTAAATATGTGGCCAGTTGCTACCATTAAACAAAGAAATACCAAGATGAAAACTAAAATAAAAGCATAGCACCTGCGAAGCAGCTGAAGACTCGGGATTTTTGGGGTCAGCCCAACTTACAGTTGGAGCGTTGTCATCAAGCTTAAATTCTGGTTTTGACATCTTTTGTCTTGAAAACTCTGCACAAGCATGGTTATAATACTTGATGAATGCAAAACCACGGTTCCGGCTGTAGTTCTGTGGATCCTGCAATAGTAAGGATAAATGGATAGAAAGTCATAGGACGGCTAAATAATTAAAATTTTAAAGATAAAATAGAACATTAACGTTGTGTTTGGTTTGAGAATTTGGAACGGGAAAGCGAAAGGGAAAGGGAAAGGGAAAAGAGAGGTGAAATGTGAATAAATTATACTTCCATTTCACCTAGTTTCACATACCTTTTCCATTTCCCTTTCCAAATCACTTCCCAAATCCCCCAACCAAACACAACATTAGAGTACAATTTTGAAAAGGATGGAAAAGCAAGTGTAACTTAGAAGTGCCAAAAATAGTTTCTTTAAAATAAAATAAAATAAAAATACTAAAAAAACTGGACAATAAAAACCTTAAGCAATTCTATAGCAATAACTCCAGGTCCTTTCTCAGCTACAACCTTCTTGATGTCTTCCTCTCCCCAGTTTCTTGGAACATTACCAATGAACAATTTATGCTTTGCTTGAGATGTAGAGCACTTGATCTTTTTCCCCTGAGAAAGAAAAGATTTATTGAAAGGATAGTACTGAGGCATCCACAGCCTCAGAAACTCCAAAAGGTCATCAAACTAACCATCAAAACAAATCATGGCTGCATATATGCATACAAATATATAAAAAGGCATGATGTGCCACACATGCACACATTAGTTGGAGCATTATTTGTATAAATGATAAGGGTCATTCATGAAGAGGAAAATGCATCAAAGCAATAGTCTGCTTGCCTTACCTTCAATTCAGAATTGTTAAGTTCCTCAATGGCCTTAGAAGCCAATTCCTTTGTCCTAAAGGTGACAAATGCATAACCCTTGTTCTCACTTGAGTCCTTGCCCTTCATTATTCTGACCTGTTATAGGCATGTAAAATATTATGTAGTCATTTATAGTCTGCATAAAACGTGCATCCATATATAAAGAAATGTATCTTACTTCTGTGACTTCACCAACAGATTCACAAAAGCTCCTCAGATCATCTTCAGAAGCATCTTGTGGAATGCCACCCAAGTATACTTCTGACCCATGAGGAGGGAGTGCAAGAAGCTCGGCATGCTTTTTTTTCACATCCTCTTCGGCCTCAGCAGGTTCCATGTCCTCGTCACCATCTGCGCCTTTTAGTGTATCAACCCCATCAGCAGCATCAGCCTCTTCTTCCTCTTCCTCTTCCACTACCTCCTCCTCCTCCTCCTCCTCCTCCTCCTCCTCTTCTTCTTCTTCTTCCTCCACCTCTTCTACTTCCTCTTCTTCTACTTCTTCATACTCAACCTCCTCCTCTACCATCTCCTCTTCATTGTCTCCATCAAAGTCCACCCTCTCCTCCAATGCAACAGGTTTTTCAGGCTCAGGTTCATCTGGCTTAGCTGCAGCAGCATGTGCTCTTGTCCTTGGCATCTTATGTATCTAATAAAGTAGCTTGCACAACAACTGTGATAGAAGCACAGAAGCCAGAAGCATTCGCAGAAGAAAGAATAATATGGGCAGGTGGAGAAAAAAATGAAAGGGCAACAGGAGTTCCAGAGTAAGAATCTTGACTGAATCTGCGCCATGAGATATGGCTCCCAGGAGTTGCAATGCGAATAATTTTCAATAAAGGGATGATAACATAGTATCTATATTAAAAGAAACAAGCAAGAGAGAATTCTGAATGATAATCAAGAGGATGATGATGCTCAACAGGTGCAAAATCAATGAAGCAATGAGTTCTCGAAATTTGACTATCGATTGATGCCGGAAAAATATGGCCACCTTTTACCGTTTAATTATCTATCCAGGACAATGCATTCACAGGAAAGAAAGAAAAGCAGAAAAAGGAAAAAATAACAAGGAATGAGAAATTGAACTACAGGAGGTGAAATTTGCAAGGAAATAATTTTCATGCAGAAAGATAATCCAAGGCAACAGCAAAACAAAATGTATCCAGAAAGCAACTAAATGGCTTTCGTTTGGTCGTCAAGAGATAGTCCTGTCCAATCCCAAAAACAATTCCAGTTCCAGAATAAATAACCCAATTGGTAAACATTCATGCAGTAAGTTAATGCATAGGAACTGAAAATTTAGTGACCAATGAACAATCCGAAATTGACTTAAATAACCAGTGCCCAATAGCAGAAATTGATTAACACCCATTTTATCAGCTGCACATGGGTATACAGAACTGAGAGTATGCCGGATAACAAGCATTTTAGTTCACATATTAAACAAAGAAAAATTGCTTGACAGGGATTCGCAATTTCACCACAAGGAAATGAATCCGAAATTGACTTAAAATAACCAGTGCCCAATAGCAGAAATTGATTAACACCCATTTTATCAGCTGCACATGGGTATACAGAACTGAGAGTATGCCGGATAACAAGCATTTTAGTTCACATATTAAACAAAGAAAAATTGCTTGACAGGGATTCGCAATTTCACCACAAGGAAATGAGGATAGGCTAGTTTTTTCCTTCAAAAAAATTAGAGGGAAACCTAAACAAAGTAGATGAAGCACTATGGAATAGACTCCACTCTCCAGATAAAAACATGTTCAGTAATGACAGCAACTAATCCTGAATCAGTAATCTGTGCCAGGCAATTTTAGAATGTAATGTTCACACATGCACTAAAATGGGGTCTAAACTCCTCAAATTTTCAAACTCACAAAAGACTATTTGGCACTATCAATGTCCTGCTCAAGTTACCAATAACTATGATATTTTAAAAAATTTAGATTGCAAACTTGAAATTATATTGGAAGTTTATAGTAAAGCACAAATATCCAGCATCCATTATTGTTGCAGCGACAGGGATGTAAACAGTAGAAATCAACGAGAAGGGATATAGCCACCTTGATTAGAGTTCAAAGATTAGGATTCACAAACGGCACTGTATATATAAAGGGTATCATCAAACACATTATTTGTTTCTCTTTTTTTAAATCATTAGCAAAGAGTAAGCACAAACCCTAACTACAATCCCCGTATTCAGATGATATGTTAGCATTTAACCATTATACTATGATGCCTTTGGCCACTCCTAAGATTTATAAAATATTCAAACTACAAATATGTAACTGTAATAGTTTAATGAACTTCACAATATTATGTATCACACACTAAAAAGGCCAATACTCCAAGGCCAATGTTGCTACGACCTTCAATCTTTAGAGCTCTATAATCAGAATCTTACAATTCGCGATTTAATTCACGATTCAATTCGCAATTTATGCAAAATCGATTCGAATTTATGGGTGATCAATTTTGAAAGTGAATATATGGTGAATCGCATGATTCATAATTCGATTCACTTATTACGATTCATGCGATTCTTGAAGCTATCGTGTCCAACATGTCTTGATTATTTTTTTCTCCCTCTTTTTAGTAAAAATGACATGATACAACTTTTAATAGTATTTAGCACAAAAATAACCAATATATAAAAGATTTGTTGTTATTTTGTTGATCAAAGAGTTTTTAATAAGATCCAATCAGATTTAGTCAAACTTAACATGTTTTTTATCTTCTCCTCTCATTTTTTTTTCCTTAAAAAAAAAAATTCATAATATATCTTCTAAAGATGCTTAAAGGTTAAGCTTGTTTTAGCAATTACCTAAAATAGACCAAAAGCAAAAAAACTACTACAAAAAAGACAACTCCTCTTATTTACTTTTCTGAACTTGGAAACTTGTTAATCTAATTTTGGAACTAGAATTAAATTAATCGTATTTCATACATTGAGCCCTTAATATATTGTTCCTTGGTCTCTGGCTCTAAAATAAGTCTATTGTATAAGAATTCCCCTTGCAACTCTTGATGTTTAGCCTCATAATTAGAAAAAACATTGGACAAAACTTAGAAGCAATTTTCTAAAAGGGCTGCAACGTGGCAGCATCCATATTGGTCTGGCCTAACCCAACCCTGATCCCCCAATTACACACAAAGCATCCCAACCCATCCCTACCCCTGTCCCACCCCCGCCCCATCTGCCTAAGCCAACCGGGTTTAACAAGGTTGGGGTGGGTTGAACCAACATAGACGCAATTAAAAGCACAGCTCTTATGCTTTTTATTTTCCTTTGACATACACGTTGTTGGATTCCAATTATATTTTATTTCTAGTTGATAATACCAAAGATGCATGGATAGGTACACAATATAGACACACCAACCATGAAATTTTCGAACAAATCAATACAAAACGTAAGAAGGAGACGGCAACAAATAAATATATAGTTTATTTGTATTCTTGAAAATAATAACTATTTCTTCATTTTTACATTACAAATACAGTTTTTTGTTAGTACAACTATCATTTACCAAAAAGGCACCAAGGAGGTGCCACCCACATACAAAAGAAAAGGTCTTGTAACCTGAAAATTTATAAAACAAAACCACCGAAGTATACTTCCCAAGCTATTAAAAAGGGACTACAAAATTCAAAATTTGGCTAAAAAGATTGGTATGATCTACCCAAGAACCAATTGTACAAAATAGACAAAAATAAACTCTAAATCTTAAAGAGTGGCACCTCACCTCTTTGAAGATCCTATTATTCTACTCTCCAAATAATCCACATAATAGCCAGCAACACCAAGTTTTACACATTTTCTTTCCGTTTATCCACACTAGCTTGTCACCTAAGAAATACGGACACGGATACGGATGCGGACGCAGACACGGACACGGATGCGGACACGAGATATGGTGATTTCAAAAAAATGGGAACACAGGCACAGCAGGGACACGATGGGAACACGGCAATAAAATATGTTTTCATATTTTTTATTTGCTATCTAGATTAATATTATATCTACAAACAATTAATATTAATAAAAATCAACTCTAATTCTTTTTTTTTTTAAATACTTTTAAATTAATTAAATAAGAGGACACACCACACACCATATGGTGTGTCCCATGCATGTCCCCGAAGTGTCCACGTCTCTGACACGGATACAGCACTTGTTTTGAAGTGTCGGTGCTTCATAACTTCTCACCAATATTAAAGGAGACCCACCACTTCTTTTGGGAAGACTTGAACGACTCCAACCAAACCAAGAACCAAGGACCACAAAGCATTAGCCACCTCACAATGAATAAGGAGTTGACTAACTAATTATACATTCTGCTTACACTTACACATAAACATTAGATTTGTCTCATCTTCCTCAAATTATTACCAGTGAGAATCTTACCATGCGTTGTCGTTCAAGTAAAAAAATAAATATTAGTAGGTATTTCACACCTCAAACACCTCTCCACAATAAAGTCCCACCACTACTACCCAACAACCTCATAAAAGGACTTGACTACAAAGCTTGCAAATTTTTCTCGGTCAGTTATAAATGCATGAAGAAGTTCAAACATGAGAGAGAGATAGAGAGAGCCATTAGATCTTGCTCAACTCTCTAATCCCATTGCTTAAGGCTTTGGAGGGTTGAAACAGTTTAGACTTCTTTCCCCAAGTATAACAGTGCAAGCTTCTTTTGCTAACAATGGTTTGGGGTTGGGATTATAGGTTCAGCAATGACCTCAAGTTACAAACTATTTGGGGATACTAGAAAGTGAAATTGGACTGGATTAAGTATCATAATCAGATTGTGTGTTCAATAAAGTATCCTTTTGTTGCTTCTCATAAAAAATAATAATAATTAGACTGTATTTTTGCAACCTGTAGGCGTTCATAGCTATGGAGAAGGATCTGAGGAATAGAGTTTGTTCTTGGAATGGGGTGGTCAATTAGCAGCCCAATTGGGATATTTTCCAAATATGGAATCTTTCTTTGAAAATCTTGAAGAGCTTTTATGGTTTTACTAGATTTTAGTGTGTTCATTTTGATCTCCATTTTATTTAGCAATTCTTGTGTTTTGTACTCTCCACTTTTACAAGGGTTCTGACTTTGCTCACAGGGGCCTGTTGCTATTTGCTTTGTTTCTCCTTTTTCTTGGTTTATGAATCTTAAAATTACCACACAAAAAAACCCTGAAGGTGTTCACTGTGGAACAATCCCAAAGCTACGCTAGTTGAGCTCTAACATTTCTCATTGTTAAGGTATGACATATATATATTTCAGCACAATCCCTAAATGCAATGAATCCCATCACCCATTATCGGCCTGATTTTGTTCAAGTGTGTGTGAACAATAAGACCATCCCAGTGGGCCGCCAAAGGAGCTGCCATTGCCAAATTTTGACAATAGATGACAAAAACCAGTCTCCAGTGGCATGCTATATTGGCTGCCAAATTATAACAATGCCAAAGCTTGTGCCAAATTTAGCACAAGCTTTGGCAATGCCAAATCTGCCGGATCATCATCCCCAACTGCTTTCCTTCCTTCCCTCCTTCCCTTCTTCATCCTTTCCCAGCCAAAACTCCCCCAAACAGAACCTAATATTTTCTAACAAAATTCACCAAAAACACAAACAGACTAAAAACAACAACAACAATCAAGCAATTCCAAACAGATTTCAAGCAATCTCAAACAAATTTCAAGCAATCTCAACTAATCTCAAGCAATTTGAAGCAAATCACCGTAATCAGAAAGAGGATTTTCAGAAAAACAAATACCTGGATTTCAAGATGCGTGATGGATTTCAGACGATCTCAAGCTTCATCTTGTTCATCTGTTTCGTCTTAGGGTTTGTTTGTGCTGCGTCTTCAACTTGTCCGTCAGAAAGGCGATTTGAAGGAGTCAATTTCAACGGTTGGGGTTTCTCAGATGGATCAGAGAGAGAGAGGGTTTAGATATTAGAGAGAGATGATAAAACAGAGGGAAGAGAGAGGCAAGGAGATAGAGATGGAAGGATCTGCGCGAGAGAGGCAGGGATGATCGGATGGAGATAGAGATGGAGACAGCTCGGGAAGACAACATGGACGGATAATAACGAACTGAGATGCGTCTGTCGGTTTGTGATTTTCCCCGAAGGGAAACGCTATGCTACACACCGATCTTCAAAGCGTGTAAGAGCTTGTTGACTTTTGGTTTTTTTTTTCTTTTTTTTGGTATTTTAGTTTGGGTTAAAAAAATTTGTTTGGAAAGAATTTTTTTTACTTTTTAAAATTTTTGTAAGAGAAAAAATATAATAATTATAGGTTAGATATAATATTTTTTCTTATTAAATTTAAAAATTTATTTTGTATTTTTTTAATTAAAATAGTCCCAAATTCAATCTAATCATTCTTTTTAGACGAGTGGTTAACATTTGAGTCATAACTAAAAATAAAAAAAATAATTATAATTTTTTGGGTAAGTAAAATTATCTATATTATTCTATATTATTATTATATAAGTGAAGTTTAGATTTGAAGGTCTCCTAAAACTTCAGTCATGTGAAATTTAAGTGATTTATTTATTTATTTATACTATTATAAAGTGAACACCTCTTATGGTATCTTGAAACTTTACTCTCTTCATGCCATCTGGCAGTATTTTTTATTTTTTAAAAAAAAGTTAAATAAAGAGATCTCCTCATGCCATGTGGCAGTATTTTTTATTTATAAAGTGAACACCTCATGACCATAGGTTTAAGCACGAAAACTCATACCACTTAAGCTAAGTACACATTATAATATTAATTTCATTATTATTATTTTTTATTCCTACTTATTTATGCCACCCACTAGTAAATAATAAAAAAATACACCAACGTTTCCTCATTTTCTTAACCAACACTCAACCCAAAAAAACAAAAAACATTTCCTCACCTCGTTTCTGTCCACCCAAGCAAGCAACAATCAATTAACCGTCTCTCGATCTCTCCGTTTCTTTGATAATTTTTTTTTAACTGTTTTTTGTTTCTTTTTCTCTACTTTTTGATTTCTTCAATCTTTTTATAATTATTTTCCCTTTCAAAGAAAATGCAAAACAAAATTATTATATACAATTATGACATACAAATAATATTTTGTGTGTTTGGTTTGAATTTTTTAAATTAAGTTTTTTAAAAATTGAGTTTTTTTATTTTCGTATTCTTTTGTTTTTAGTGAATATTTTTTAAATTTCAAACATTTTTTATTTTTTTAGATGCAACTTAGTTAGATATATCTAAAAAGTAAAAAAATTGTGAAAAAATATTTTAAAAAATTAATAAATACATAGAAATACAAAAAAAATGTATTGAATTCTTATATTTTTTGTATTTTTGGTATTTAGTGAATTTTTAAAATATTTTTTTTACAATTTTTTTACTTTTTAGGTGTATTTATGTTAGGTGTGTCTAAAAAGTAAAAAAATTGCTTAAAATATTAAAAAAACTCAGTAAAAACAAAAAAAATACGAAAAATAAGAAAGTAGAATTTTCTAAAAAGTGTTTTCTGAAAAAAGAAAACAAGCAAGCTTTTGAAGGTAAATAAAAATAATCTAAAACTCATTAATTTTTATATTCTCAATGATTGATATTTTTGTTTAGTTTTTTTTTTCATATAAATTCTGTAAGTGTTTAAGAGTCTTCAATTTATAATTTTTGGCATTGAAACTTTTTCAGAATGATAGGGTTTTGTTTACGTTTTAAATATTCTTCAATCTAAACTATAAATTATCCTTCTTATTAATCTTTTTAGGTGTAAATTATGTTCTAAAAAAATAACTACAATTAATAGGTTTGTTTATGTTTTTAATATTCTCAGTTTTTTTGGGTATAAATTCTATTTTTTTTTAAAAAAAATTCTATAATTGTTAAAAGTTTTGAATTTGTTTATTTTCTTTACTCATACCACTTAAGCTAAGTACACATTATAATATTAATTTCATTATTATTGTTTTTTATTCCTACTTATTTATGCCACCCCCTAGTAAATAATAAAAAAATACACCAACGTTCCTCATTTTCTTAACCAACACTCAACCCAAAAAAACAAAAAACATTTCCTCACCTCGTTTCTGTCCACCCAAGCAAGCGACAATCAATTAACCGTCTCTCGATCTCTCCGATCCGATTCTTTGATAATTTCTTTTTTAACTTTTTTTTGTTTCTTTTTCTCTACTTTTTGATTTCTTCAATCTTTTTATAATTATTTTCCCTTTCAAAGAAAATGCAAAACAAAATTATTATATACAATTATGGCATACAAATAATATTTATTGTGTTTGGTTTGAGTTTTTTAGATTAAGTTTTTTGAAAATTGAGTTTTTTGATTTTCGTATTCTTTTGTTTTTAGTGAATATTTTTTAAATTTCAAACATTTTTTTTATTTTTTTAGATGCACATTAGTTAGATATATCTAAAAAGTAAAAAAATTGTGAAAAAATATTTTAAAAAATTAATAAATACATAGAAATACAAAAAAAATGTACTGAATTCTTGTATTTTTTGTATTTAGTGAATTTTTAAAAGATTTTTTTTACAATTTTTTTACTTTTTAGGTGTATTTATGTTAGGTGTGTCTAAAAAGTAAAAAAATTGCTTAAAATATTAAAAAAATTCAGTAAAAACAAAAAAAAAATACGAAAAATAAGAAAGTAGAATTTTCTGAAAAGTGTTTTCTGAAAAAAGAAAACAAGCAAGCTTTTGAAGGTAAATAAAAATAATCTAAAACTCATTAATTTTTATATTCTCAATGATTGATATTTTTGTTTAGTTTTTTTTTTCATATAAATTCTGTAAGTGTTTAAGAGTCTTCAATTTATAATTTTTGGCATTGAAACTTTTTCAGAATGATAGGGTTTTGCTTACGTTTTAAATATTCTTCAATCTAAACTATAAATTATCCTTCTTATTAATCTTTTTAGGTGTAAATTATGTTCTAAAAAAATAACTACAATTAATAAGTTTGTTTATGTTTTAAATATTCTCAATTTTTTTGGGTATAAATTCTATTTTTTTTTAGTAATTCTTGAACAGTAGTGTATGCAAGTTTATAAATTTTAATTAAACATATTTTGAAAATAAATAAAAAAAAAAAAGCAAACATCCTAAAAAATTCATATTTTCGTATATAAATTCTATAATTTTTGAAAAAATGAAATTTTCAAATTTTCAATTTGTTGATTATGTTGATTGAAAAACAATAAATAAAAAATCGTACAACATGTATATATTATGATGTGAATTATAGGCTCATATTTTTATGAAAATTTGTTTCATTTTTTTTCACCATATAAAAGTTCAATCTAAACTATAAATTTTTTTTAAAAAAAATTAACTAGAATTAATAGATTTGTTTATGTTTCAAATATTCTCAATGATTGTTTTTTATTATTATTATTATTATTTGGGTATAAATTCTTTTTTTTTTTTGGAGGGGGGATAAATTTTGTAATTGATGAAGAATTTTGAATTTGTTTATTTTTTATTTTCTTTGGTATAAATTCTTTGACTATTTAAGAGTCTTGAATTTATTTTATTCTCGGTCATAGAAGTTTTGGTTTATTTAGTTATTTATTTTTACTATAAATTCTGTAATTGATTTAGAAGTTTTGGTTTATTTAGTTATTTATTTTTACTATAAATTGTGTAATTGTTAATGTAAATCAAAGTATTATAAATTAATGCAGCGGATAAAAATAATTCGTATCATACCTTAATGACACAACCTTGTGGGTAAATCACGTGCTTCCAAAATCTGATCGGTCAACGAACCCAGCAGTGGAATGATACTACAAAATGAGTATCACATACACAAGTCACAGTGCAAAATGGCTTGATCGTTGTTTTTTAGGAGAGAGTCGGATAGAGAGTATGGGAAAAATGGTTATGGGTAAAAACCACATAACGTATATCTGACATACGTATATCTTTAAATTAACCATATAATCTGATATATAACCAATATCTATCTATCCATCTATCCATATGTATTGATATGATAGATATACATATCCTGAATGGTTATCCAAATAAGTTTGAATTCAAATTCAAACTTACATGGATAAGGTTCAAAAGGTTCTAAGGGTCATGCCACATGGGCGCCCAATTTCTAACAGCTCCCACTCGAACATGAGTTGGCATGACACTGCCACATCTCTATCTCAATCTCCCCAAAAAATAAACAATCTCATACTAGCCACTGCACCGTGCGACTGCTGAGAACACCTGCATGTGGGAGCTCTATACTAGAAACTCAAAATGAGCCAGCATAGAGACATCAACCCAAAAAGAAAAGAAATAGTGTCTCATATACCCCAGACCCATCTAATTACACCAGTCCAAAAAACATCTCTAATCCCTCAAAAAGAGCATGTTTGACCCTCTCAATTCTTGCAATATATTCACACTCAATTCACCTCTCATACAGAGCGATGTCTCTTCCATTCTAGGACTCTTATTCCTTATCCACTCATCTCGGATTTCAATATCTCCGCAGATAACTTCGGCTTAGCCGAGATCACCTCGGCGCCATGATTAGGACACGTGGCACCTCGGCTGGCACTTCGGTGCCACCTTGGCCACGTAATGTCATTCACAAAAATATGCCCCCACAGTAATATTACTCTCTCTCTCTCTTTCTAATTTTTTTTTTTCATTTTTCAAATTTTTGAAACAAAAATTGACAGAAGATCGGAAAAAAAAAGAAGCTTTCTTTAAAAAAAATTCTACGATGGTGATGCTA